TTGGAGTATAGTTTTACTCCTAAGTATATCTTTATATATCTATTTTCTGTTAATATAGACCAATATACCATTGGCTCTATATATATTGATATTGTACCTATTTTTCAGTCAGCTAATGAAATTACAATTACTGTCAAATATTCTCTCTTCTCTCTCGCTGCTTTCTCTCTATCTCACTCTCCTCATCTTCTTTCTCTCTCACAACTCCTTTAAGGACCATCAAATGTCTAAAATAGAGGGGGGTGGACCAGGAGCATTTATGGTAGAAGGAGGGATGAAAGAAAAAGGGAGAATGATGAGAAAACTGAGACAAAAATGGAGAATAGTAGGAAGATAGAGGGAAAGCAGAATTGGAGAAATATGACTGATGCAAAATACCAAGAAAGGAGGAGAAGAGGAATTTGTTTCAGATGTGAAGAGAAATTCTCACCTAGGCATGTGTGCAAGAACAAGAAAATCAGAATAATGTTGCTTGAGGAAGGAGTGGAAGAGTCCGAGGAAGAAGAGGAATTTCAATGGAGTGGTAAGCCTTCCACCTCTACTTTGGATTTTCGGAGTATGGTGGGTATGACTTCCAAGCACTCTTTCAAATTTTGGGGAGAGCTACGAGATAACCCAATTTTAATTTTGATTGATTGTGGAGCTTCCCACAATTTCATTACTGAATCAGTTGTGAAGAGATTGAGGCTGCCAGTTGAAAGAACATAACAATATTGGGTAAAAGTAGGAGATGGTCATAGTGTGAAGGCTCAAGGGATGTGTGCAGATTTGAAACTAGTGGTGCAGAAGGTTCCCTTGACACAAAATTTGTATTTGTTCGCTTTGGATGGAGTTGACATGATATTGGAAATGGAATGGTTAAGAGGATTGGGGAAATCAAGGGTAATTTTGATAAATTAACCTTGAAAATCAAAGTGGGGGGAGAAGTCTATCAGATTAAGGAAATTCTTCCTTGAGTGTATTAGAAGCCCCATTAAAAGGTACCCTCAAACACTTGGAGGTGGAGGAGGAGATTTATTGGGTGGAATGTTGTTTGGCTGCAATGGAACCAGAGGAGGGGCAAGACCAATTCCATATTGTATAAGACAGATTATGGAAGAGTTTGAGTCTGTTTTTCAAGAACCCCAAGGGCTACCTCCTTCAAGAAGGCAAGACCATGCTAACAACTTAAAAGAGGGGGCAGAGATTCTGAATCTGAGGCCTTATAGGTATTCTTATTATCAAAAGAATGAGATTGAGAAATTGGGGCAAGACATGTTGAGAGCTGAAATAATTAGGCCTAGTGTTAGTCTCTTTGCTAGTCCTATTATTTTAGTTAAAAAGAAGGATGGGAGTTGGAGGTTTTGTGTGGGTTATAGGGTTTTGAATAAGGTAAGTATCCCAGATGAATATCCAATTCCAATCATTGATGAGCTCTTGGATGAACTGGCTAGGGCCACCATATTTTCTAAGTTGGACTTGAAATCTGGTTATCACCAGATTCCAATGAAAGAGGAAGATGTTCAAAAGACAACATTTAGAACACATGAGGGTCACTATGAATATTTGGTAATTCCATTTGGCCTTACCAATGCTCCCTCAACATCCCAAGGGTTGATGAATGAAGTGTTGAGGCCATATTTGAGGAAGTTTGTATTGGTATTTTTTGATGATATTTTAGTGTACAGCAGGAGTTTGGAGGATCATCAACACCACCTAAGACAGGTCTGACCTTATTGCAGGAAAATTCATTAGTGGCCAATAAGAAAAAGTGTTAATTTGCTAGATCCCACATGGAGTACTTGGGTCATGTCATTTCTGCCAGTGGAGTAGCAGCAGACCCCATGCTTAATTGACCTTACCCCACAAATCTCAAAGGTCTGAGGGTTTCTTTTAGGATTGACTGGATTCTACAGGCGATTTGTGCAAGGATATGGGGTAATGTCTAGGCCTTTGACTGAATTGTTAAAGAAGGAAGCATTTTTATGGAACGAGGAAGCTAGTAAAGCTTTTGAAACAGTTTGTGGTAGAATCGGATGCCTCTAGCAGGGGAATAGGGACAATGTTATTTCAGGAGGGCAGACCATTGGCTTTCATGAGCAAATCATTATCAAAAAAGGCATAGAAGAAATCGGTTTATGAGAGAGAATTAATGGCAATTGTTGTGGCTGTATAGAAGTGGAGACATTACTTGATGGGTAGGAGATTCATTATCAAAACTAACTAGAGAAGCCTTAAATTTCTCACTGAGCAGAGAATGTTGGGGAAGGAGCAGAACAAGTGGACCACCAAGTTATTGGGATTTGACTTTGAGATTCAATATAAACCTGGTTATGAGAACAAAGTTGCGGATGGACTCTCACGACAGATGATGTATGCTGCCATTTCAAGAGTAGAAATGGAGGAAATTATTCTTTAAAAATAAGCTGGTGTTGCCTAAGAATTTTAATAGAATTCCTTTAATCATCCAAGAATTTCATGCTACGCTATGGGAGGACATGCTGGAGTGTTTAGAACTTACAAGAGGGTGTCAGCTGTGTTTTTTTGGAAGGGGATGATGAAGAATATCACTAAGTTTGTGATCGAATGCCATGTTTGCCAGACCAATAAATATCAAACGCTAGCTCCAGCTGGGTTGCTACAACCCTTGCCAATTCCTACTCAAATTTGGAGTGACCTTTCTATGGATTTCATTTGTGGATTGCCAAGAGCTTTGGACAAAGATACAGTGTTAGTGGTAATAGACAAATTATCTGAAATATGCCCATTTCTTGCTTCTCACATCCTTTCTCAGCTCATGAGGTAGCTAAAATATTCATTTAAGAAGTGGTCCGACTACATGGGTTTCTCGAGTCTATTGTAACGGATAGGGACAAATTATTTTTGAGTCAATTTTGGTCTGAATTGTTTAAGTCGGCAGGCATTAGATTGAAGTATACTTCAGCCTATCACCCTCAATTGGATGGGCACATGGAGGTAGTTAATAAATGTTTGGAGGATTACTTATGATGTTTTGTGGGGGATAAACCCAAGCAATGGTCTAGTTGGTTACCTTGGGCAGAATTTTTCTCTAACACGCATTATAATCAATCTTCTGGTATGACGCCATTTAAAGCTGTCTATGGGAGAGATCCCCCAACCATTTTTAAAGCTCAAACTTTTCCTTCAAAAGTAAAGGCCGTGAATTTATTGGCAGAGGAGCGAGATGGAGTTTTGGAGGAGTTAAGAGCTAACATTTGTAAGGCACAATCAAGGATGAAACAACAAGATGACAAGAAAAGAAGAGATGTTAATTTTGAGGTAGCAGACTGGGTTTCTTTGAAGGCACAACCATATAGACTCGAGTCTCTGGTTAAAAGGAGGAATGAGAAATTGGCTCCTAGATTCTATGGTCCTTTCCAGGTGGTGGCTAAGGTTGGTACAGTGGCTTATAAGTTGCCGTTACCAGAGGGCAGCAGAATTCATCCGGTATTTCATATCAGCAAGTTAAAGAAGGCCATTCCACCTGAAACGCAAGTGCAGCCCCTTCAAATGGAGCTTTCTGTTGAATGGGAATTGCAGCCACAACCAGCAGAAATTTTATCCTACAGGTATAACAGAGCTGGGGAACTATAGGTTCTTATCCGGTGGCACAACCTACCAGACTTTGAGAACTCGTGGGAGTCAGCTACGAAGATGAATACCACATTTCCACAATTCCACCTTGAGGACAAGGTGATTGTGTTAGGGAGGAGTATTGATAGGGGACCCATAGTTAAGAGGGTCTATGTTAGGAGGAAAAGGAGGGATAGTTAGTTATTATGTTAACTAACTGATAGCTGTTCTGTGGAGGCTGTTAAATTGTATAAATATGAGAGAATCATAGAAGTAGGTGTGAAGAAAATAGTGGAATAATTTGGAGAGATAGGCACTCTCGAATTTGCCCGGTATCACTGTATTCTTTCCTTCTGGTTTGCATCGACCAGCAAAGGTTCAATAACAAATATTACAACAGTCTTTCATTTCTCTCTAAATCTTCCTTAATATCCAGTTGAGATCTATCAGTAGCATATAGACCTTCACTGCCAGAGGGCTGCAAAATACACCTGGTGTTCCATATCAGCAGACTAATGAAGGATGTTCCTGCTTATTACCAACCTCAATGGCTTCCAGCTGCATTAACTGCTGTGTGCTGACTGGTAGCTTCAACCCCAGCTTGAGGGTATCCTTCCTCTGCATTGGAACAAGCAAGGCCAAGCAGATGTTTTGGCTAAATGGATTAACCTACCGGACTGTGAGTACCCTTAGGTGTTTGTTGACACTCTACACAATACCTTTCTGATTTTCCCCTTGAGAACAAGGTGAATAATGTTTTAGGGGGAGTATTGATGGGTGCCCAATGGTTAGGAGGGTGTATGTAAAAAGGGGAAATAAGGTTAGAACAATGAATTAATTGAAATGTACAGAACACTATCTGGGGGGTGTTAGAAGTTAGTTGAGTTAGAAGCTCTTTCAGAAGTTGTAGGAGAGAGAAGGTGCTCTTGGATCACATTGCTGTATCCTTACTCGTTGTATAGACCAACTCACTGAATGATATTTTAGGGGTACATTACTCTCGTTTTCTTGTTCACTTGTACTTTCTGTCTGAAACCATTCGATGAGTCTGTCATTAATTTTTTCAGAGAGCACGATGGTTAATTTTTTCACCAGCATGCATTCTTCAAATCTTAGAGCCAATTTTGTATAACTAAAATATTATGAAAATTTCTGGTTAATTATTTCACATGCAATTCAAGCTTAAAGTTATTGCCTATTTCTTGTTATCTTAAAGTTGTAACCGATTTATGGTTCATATATTTTATTTGTGTGAAAGCAGATGAAGGTGAGGTAAACATATGTTGTAACTGTGTTTGGCCGCTGTAGCTTTTGTTTCATTTTTGCTAGTGAGGCTATGGTTTACATATTTCCCTTCATAACAAAAGTATCTTTCAATTAATATTATTTTTGTAATGGCTCTTAGTGGTAATTATGTTTTTATGCAGAATGTTAGATTCCTAGCAAACTTCATAACAGAGGCTGGAATTATTATCAAGAGAAGCAAGGTAAGTTCTTAAGCTCGGCTAGGGAATAGAGTTTGTAAGAATGTTGCAAGATTATGGAGTAAAAATAAACTGTGGATGTTTCAGAATTAGTACTATAATCATTTCCCATTCCTCTTCCCAAGCATATTACCCCCTTCTGTCATATAAGCAAAAAAAAAAAAAGAAATTCATATGTTTGTCTAAACTATATGTAAATTTTAACTAGTTTCATCCTTTTTCTTTTTTATCAGCAAATGTTAATTGTTAATTATGTTAGTGGAGGGATTCAAATCCACACCCTCCTTATCACTCTAGTCCTATGACCCTCCTCCCAAGTTATTAGACCAATCTTATAATTAGTTTCATCCTATTTAATGACATGATTCCCAAAACACCTTTCATTTAACTGAGATTGTATTTTTAATAACTATTTTTTATTCTTAATATCAAGTTTAAATGAAGGGTAGTTTTTTTTAAAAAAAAACATTTTTTAAATCCGATTAATAAAATAAAAAGATGTTAACTACCTTTCTTAATTAGTATGAATTAATTTTTTTTTCTTATGTTAGAGATAGGAGAGAGAATATATATATATAAACTTGTGTTAAATAGTTGGATCTTATCTTAACACTTTTTCATCTTCTTCATGGAGTAGACTGGCATTAGTGCAAAGGCTCAAAGGAAGGTTGCCAGGGAGATAAAAACTGCGCGAGCATTTGGTTTGATGCCCTTTACAACAATGGGTACAAAGTCATTTGTTTTTGGGAGAAATATGAAGAATCTTGATAATGACTTTACGTACGAAAGAAAAACTGAGAACATGGATGGGGAACTTGATGTGGAAGACCAAGCTTAGAGCATTGACATAGATACTTATGCTTCTTGGGTTGAAGTAGCTCCCATCCTTTCCTGTACTTCTTATTTATTTGTTTCTCACCTTGCCCAAAAGACTGTTGAAATTTATTGAAATCTTAATTTTGCAGTTAGATTTTTACTATTTTAATTACAAAGGAGTTGTAGTTTATACTTGTACTAAGGCTATGTTGGGCCTAACTTCTTATTTTTTTTTTAAGTTACTTTAAAGCTAAAGCTTGTAATAACATTTCTCTTTCTATTCAAATTAGAATAACTAGAGGGGCAGAGGCACTTCGTGTCTCTAATAATTATTGGTTAATAAAATTTTAGAAAGTTGTGTAAAATTATTTAAAGAAAATTTTAAAAAATGGAAGGTGTTTATCACCTTTTTATATTTGGGGTATAATGGTCCATTAAAAAATGGAGACCAAAAAGTAGTTACATCTCCTATATTCCTTTAAAAAAAATTTAAGATTTTTTTTTTTTATATTTGGAGATATAATGGTCCATTAAAAAATGGAGACCAAAAAACGGTTACATCTCCTATATCCCCTTTATAATAGTTATAGATTATAGATTATTTTGAATGGAGCCTATTTAGGAACCATTTTCAATAAGTATTATTAAGAGATTTTTGTGTGTTTAGAGATTTTCTTAATATACTATCTTTAATATGTTTTTATATTTATTTTAAATTAATTTTCAATGTTTTTTTTATTAGAAATTATTGATAGTTAAAATTAATCTAATCATAAATATAAGTTTTAGGATAAATCTAAAATATATTTTATATTTTATATATTTAAAATATTTATTTATTTAAATTTTAATTAAAAGGCAATTTCTTTTATATGAAAAAGTATGTTTATTATTAATTTTAGCTAAATAAAACAAATATTTATCATGTACATTATATTGGTTAAAACATTATTTTTTAAAAAAATAGTAGAAGTTTGACAATTTAGTTTAAGAATTAATTATCCATACATTGGCAGTGTAAAGGTTTTTACACCGACAACCAATCAAATATTTTAAATTATTTTATTTTATTTTTATTTCATTAAATAGGCAATTCACATGATACTATTAAAAGATATGATTGGTTGCCAGTGTAAAAAACTTTATACGACAGTATATAAGTGATTAACTTTTAAACTAGTTTTGTTTTCATAATCTTACATGTGTTAGTTTAGGATGAGGGAGAGAAATGATAAGTGTGTTTTATTTTAAAAGATTGTCTCAGTCATTTTTTTAAATTGCATTTTCCCTATTCCGTAACAAATTTAAGTTTTAAAAAAAAAATATTCCAAGATCTTTTTTCTAAATATATTCGTGTTTACAAAAGATCTTTTTTCTCCAAACTTCCAGCTTTATGTAATAATCTTACATGTGTTAGTTTAGGATGAGGGAGAGAAATGATAAGTGTGTTTTATTTTAAAAGATTGTCTCAGTCATTTTTTTAAATTGCATTTTCCCTATTCCGTAACAAATTTAAGTTTTAAAAAAAAAATATTCCAAGATCTTTTTTCTAAATATATTCGTGTTTACAAAAGATCTTTTTTCTCCAAACTTCCAGCTTTATGTAATAATCTTACATGTGTTAGTTTAGGATGAGGGAGAGAAATGATAAGTGTGTTTTATTTTAAAAGATTGTCTCAGTCATTTTTTTAAATTGCATTTTCCCTATTCCGTAACAAATTTAAGTTTTAAAAAAAAATATTCCAAGATCTTTTTTCTAAATATATTCGTGTTTACAAAAGATCTTTTTTCTCCAAACTTCCAGCTTTATGTAATAAAAGTTGTTTTTAATTTAAGTTGTTTGTTTGAGAATATTAATATAGAAAAAGCTTTTTATTAAAAAAGAAAAAGAAGCTGTTTTACGGCATAAAAATTCTGAATTGTTTGCTTTTGTTTTAACATCTTATTTTTCAACTCTTGATCAACGTAATTTAAAAAAATAATAAAAAGGAGTCTATACAAAAATAAAGAAGTTGTCTTTGGTATCCATATAGGTTGTTTATTTTTAGGATTCGTCAACGATTAGGAATGATAATGGGACGGTTACAAGTTTTACTATCTCTGCTTTCATCTTGTATCTTATATTTATTCTTGTCTTTATATCCGGGTACGAAATTTGTGTTCTCATCTCTATATTTATAGGATATTGGATATACTTGTATCTATTTTGTATCTGTTTAAAAATTAATTAATTTTTTAAATATATATATATATATATATATATTGTACCTAATTTAATTAATTAAATATTATTATATTTATATTCGATCAAACTGAATATTTTGTGTTAAAGTTAGAATGAGTTTAAATATTATTTATCAATATGAATTTATTGTTATCCCTAATAATGATTAAGTCTCAATGAACTATTTTACTATTTTACTGATAATCTCATAGATTTATTTGTGAAAATTAGTTAGAATACACTATCGTCTTTTCATTTAATATTGTATTTCTCAATTTATCCTAAACTCTATTGAATCAAAAGTCACTCCACTGCTATCAATTTAAAACGGTATAGTTCTTGAATTGTCTTTTTTTATCCACATGAAGACAAAAGCCATTCGAGTGAGCATTTTTTTTATTTATTGTATTTTAATTGATGTAAAAAATTGAGCTTTGTAATTCATTATAAATAATTTTAAAACAATTATGGGGATATAATCACATTAAGAAATTCATTTTAATAATTTTAAAAAATCAAAAACTAAAGAATCTTGGAGGACATACCTTGTGAGTCAATTTCATTTTCCATCTCACTCTCATTTTCTATTATGATGTCCTTGTTTTCCATTCTTCTTTTTATCTTTAACCTGCTTGTGTTCCCCTTATTTCTTTATGGAGATTCAACTTAGTTGCGTTCCTCATAACATCATGTCTAGGGGTTAACTTAAAAAAAAATCAAGAAGGGTGTGCTAAACTTGAAGAAAGAAAGCTCAAACTCTTATTGAACTTTAAATAACTTTCAATAGTCTATTTTCTCTTACTTGTATATAATTTTTCTTATAAATATTTTTTATTTCTGAACTTGTATTTTTCGATCAATTGGTATAGAAAATTATTTCCTTGTAATTTTGTTTTTAATTTTAGGGGTGTGAATAATATTTTAAGGGGATGTAACTAGAAAATGAGATGTGTTTATTAGGCTTGAATGATCCATGAGAACAAGTTTGAACGTGTAGTCCAACATGTGGGACGCCCACTTTGTAGATAATATGTTTTTATGACCATTTAAACTTCAATAAGTCACGTGTCACCTTTAGTAACACTTTTAGCACCTTGCCAGGTGACAAACCCCCATTGACTCTTCTAAATCTAGGATGTTGACACGAGTCACACTTCTTGCACCTTGTCACATGCATGCTTCTATTGACTCCTCTAGATTTAAGATAGTGAGATTTTTTATGAGAGAAATTCAAGTTTTAAATTGTAACTAGAGTTGGTAGTTTTGAGTATAAGTTAACTTAACCTATGTTTCATGTAACCATGGTTAGCTTAACTTGCATCACAAGCTACCAAACTCTATAAATTGAATCTCCCTACGCATATTCAACCACTTTTAATTGAATAAGAAATTGAGTTGCAAATTTCTCTCCCAAAAGCTCTTAGTTTTCTCCTTGGCAAACTTTCTCCTTATGAACTTTTATCAAGGAATTCCTCCTTGTGGCAAGTTCTTTGATTCTTACTTTTTTTCCCTAGTGAAGTGGCGCATCCTCCTCTTGTCTCTTCAATCGTTTTCAAGTTTGCTTTGGAGTTATGAATTCCATGGTTGAAGATCGTAGCATCAATATAACTAATTGAAAAGATACACCAAGTTTCTCCTCCAATAGTTTCATCTACTTGGTATCAGAGCCTATGTTCATCCATGGAGGTTTTTTTATCATATTTTTATGTTATCCAATAGTTCTTATATGTCTTGAGTAGTGTTTGTATGCTATTTGATAGATCTATAATTATCTTGAAAATTTTGGTTCAAATTTTTTTAGTTCTAGTATTTTATGAACCAAATCTCTTTGTATGATCTTAGGATTCTTGTTCTATGAACTTTCCTCTATGTTTTGATGTATGATGTTGTGTTTGAAGCATGATATAAAATTTGTGTAGTATATAGGAGTTTTATTTTGAAATCTATGCAAATTCATGTGTCTTAGAAGTCATGTGTAGTTTTTGTATATCAACACTTCTAGTTGTCTTTTTTGATTTTTGAATCTTGAAAATACATGTTATAAGATGCTAGACCAAATCATATTATGTGCTTTTTTCTTATAATATTTGAGTTCATGCATGTTATTAGTTCGTTAACATGTTCCTAGAAAGTTAGGCTTCCATGTCTTATACTTTTCACTATTTTTTGTTTCCTCCAATTTTGTGATTCAATTTGAGTTCAAATTTTGGTGAATATTTTATACTCTTGTGGCTACAACAAAATAATGTTTGAAATTACTTTTTGAAGTTTAAAAAGTTTCAAAAGTACATGCCTAAGTGAAAGCAAGAGTAATTACAAAATTCTCCACCAATTTTTTAGTCATTTTAAAATTTTCTATTTCTAAAATTTTTTGCAATTTTGAGTTTTTTGTCTTTGAAAATTTTGTGACAAATTTACCGTAACTAAAACAAGAGAAAAAATAGTCACAAAGTTGCTCCAAAAGAAAAGAAAGCAAAAATGTAAAAAAGAAAAAGAGAAAAAAAATAGAAAAGATAAATACAAGAAAAATGAGAAAAAAATTTGTGGAGCATTTTATAAGAAGAAATTTCAAAATATTTTGTCACATTTCATTTAGCTTAAATTTGCATTTAATTCGAAAGTAAATTTAAGATCTTATTGATTTTGTAATCCAATTTTAAAATCATTCTCTAGACTATTCCTTTGAAGTTTCAACTTCCAAATTGTAATTCAATATTTTTTATTATTGATAACTTATTTTTAAAATATTAAAATTTAATTTATAAATGATAATATAAATAAAAATTTAATTACATAAGAAGTTAAAAAAAAATTTAAAAAATTTTCTCGTCGGAAAAAAATTCATAAAAATACTTTCATATAAGATTTTATGTTTAATATATAAAAATTAAATATTTTAGAATATATGAAACTACAAAATATCTTTTTTACCT